AAAGCAAAGCTGCTGCTACAGCTTAAAGAATTTTATCATAATTTACTTTTGAAATTCTTCTTGAGAGAATCTTTCTAAAAGACATTTGAATTGTCTAACTAAAAAAGAAGATAATATAATTATTATTAGTTGAAACTGTAATTCCTTTTTGCTGAATACAAATGCTTCTTTGCGAGTGCATTATTAGTATTTTAYAGCCTGCGTAGCGGCTATACTGGACAGGTCATTTATTTAATATTKTCGAACTTGTTTATAATTGGTAAATATCTCATTTTAAAGGCTTATGTGAATACTGCTTGTCTGATTTTTTAATTGCAATAATATGTCCATCTAAATTTTAACCTTTGATTTGAATAAAGATATTTGTTTGTTTCAAAGAAAGTGGGATCCCTTTGTCAGATTTGACCGYAAGGTATTGTGGTATTTTGCAGCACGTGTCGGCCATCTTGACTTCTCAGTCGGAGTGTGTATCTTCGTAAAAAAACAGTATTTATAACATCTAATATTGCTGCAAAACATCTAAAATTTATAGAAGTATCCCAAGAAAAGTTGTAATCGCGAATTGAAATAGTTGTTTCTTTAAAATGTCTCAATATGTTCGCGTAGTTGAAGATGAGACCTGTCCAGACCAAGCGATCGAGATACCGACTGAACCAGACGGAACCTTGCTTCTTGCTAACATACAAGGACAGTTTCCAGGAGCTTGTGGCTTACGTTATCGTAGTCATGATACAAATTCATTACGAGGTGTACGTCTCGCTGAAAACATCTTGTATCCACCGTTTGAGGAGGGATGGGGAGCRATAATGTTTATAGTTGTTCCAAGCAAAATTGGTGAGTWCGAGCCGAAAGCAACTTWCAGTAATCAAAAATGGTATCTTTGATATTGATAGTTGGCCCTTACGCYCAAAATGTATCCAACAAAGCGTGCATATATTGCMAATACTCCATRTTACAGTCAAACTCCATCTTAAAAGGTAGCTAAGCGTTTGCATGGAGGTGAGAGGAGTTCACMCTGCATATAATAAGCTATCTATCACATCTTAGACAATTATTGCAAGTAGCATCTGTAGCAGATGTTCCAAGCGGTTCAATTCTCTCCTGCAGGCTATATTGCAAGCTGTCTTGCTTTTGATGTAAAGGCTAGGCTACCCTCCAAGAAATGGAGTATTCCAGGCAT